GGTCCGGCTTCTTCCGAGGCTCTGTCCACGTTCTGCTCATCCCAGTCAGCTTCATCTTCTGCCGAGGCGAAGGCTCGGGTGCCAAGAAAGCCATCGGAGCGGTCGGGGTTTCCGTCTTGCAAATTGGAGAGGTAGTATCGGAGGGTGAGGTTTTCGTAGAAGATGACATCACGTGCTGCTACTGTCTCTTTTGTCTCGACGTCGAAAATCTTCCATGCGTTGTAATGTTTTTCGATGCCCAGGTGTAGTCCCCACTGTGCGCGTTGGGAGAATCGGCCAGCTCGTGCAGATGGGGGCCGGTACTGTACCATGCAGCCCAAGACACTCAACATTTTTGTGCTGCCCAGTTTTCCTGTCCACAGCAGATGCTGTGATGCGTTGTTCGGGAGCGATGATGATGAGAGCAAGTTGTGCAGCATGACAGCGTGGTCCATTGCTTCGGGCCACTGGTGGTTGGGAAGGTGCATGCCACGTAGCAGCTTGCGCATGGTGTTCTGGAGTGTCCTGTTCATCCTTTCTGCTACGCCTTGCTGTTGATGGGCGTAGGGAAGGGAGATGAGTCGCTTGATTCCTCTCTCTGCCAAGTACTCCTTGAACCTCTGTGAGGTGTATTCTCCTCCCCCGTCTGACTGGAAGCTTTTTAGTTTGACGCCCGATTCTCGTTCTGCTACTAGAAGCCAGGCGACGAAAGCTTCGAAGGCCATGTCCTTGCTTGGAAGATTTAGATGCCAGACGTATCGAGTGGCTGCGTCGATGAAGGTGATGGTGTAATTGTACGCGTTTTGTCCAAGCTCGCGGTTGTACAGGATGTCGCTGTACACTTTCTCGAGTGGCGCGTAAGCTGGTGCGCTTGGGTTGTGGTGAGACGCGAACGGTTGATGCGGTAAGTCAGCTTCGGGACAGGTGAAGCATGTTCCACGAGCTCGCTGAAGTTCTCTGCCGTCAGTTAGGAGTAGAGAGTCTTTGTCGAGCATGCCTGCTCTTATCGTGTTGTTTAACACCGTGTTGCTTGGGTGTCCCATTCTTGCGTGCCAGGTTCCTTCGGTGGCACGATGTCCGGGTGAGCGCCGATACATGTCGGAGTTGGAATAGAAGCTGGCGGTGAAGTTGGCGCTTCGATGAACTTCTCGTGGTGCTGGGTGCAGTTGCTGCGCGGGTGTCGGTGGTGTGTCGTCAACGAGGATCGATGCCGTTGAAGGACCAGCGATTGGTGTTGATGTTGCCGCTGTTGTCTCTGTTGTCTCTGCTGCTGCCGTTGTTGTCTCTGCTGCTACCGATGTTGTCTCTGCTGCTGTCGATGTTGTTTCTGCTGCTGCCGGATGTTGAATTGTCGCTAACGCTCTTGTTCTTTCTGCTTCAGGTATCGTGTGTGAATACCAGAAACCGCCGGGGCTGAAGTCTGGGTCAAGATCCGGTGGATGTGTCCAAGAGGTGAAGGTGACGATCCCGTCGCTGTCGGCGGTGCCGAGATCTGGAACGAAGTTGAGAACGAAAACATTGTTCTTCAAGACTGCCTTGCCGATGTAGAGACCTCCTCTCCCGTGGTACAATTTGAACTCCTGGGTGGTGCTGTCTGCTTCGAGGTGAATGCCTTTTGCCATCAACTGGCTGATGCTCAGTAAGTTGTAGCCGAGTCCCTCCACGATTAATACTTTTGACATCTGTAGTAGAACGTTTGTCTCTCTTGACTGAAGTTGAACCACGCCTTGTCATCGTGTGCGCAGGTTCTGGTTGTTGGCGACGGTGATGACTACTTCGCGTTGGAGTTGGTATTCTTGCTGCACGAAGCGTCCTGAAGAGCACATGTGCTGTCCGCAGCAACTGTCCAAGAACCAGGTATCTTTCCCGGACGGCTCGCTTTGGGCAATGGCTGCGTATGTTGGATTCGGTTGGAGTGACTCGCGGCGAGGTGTGGTGTTGTCGAGTTGCTCTTCCGGTGAGTAGTGCGGTGGTGACTCGGTGATGCAGGAATCGGTCAATTTTGCCATGCAGCTGACGATGTTTCTTGCTCCTTGTGCAGATTGTGTTGTTGAAGGTTGCGACTGACTCGTGGGGTTCGCCTGCGTCGATGCCACTTGGCTGCTTGAGGGTCGAAGCTGCCGTTGCGGTGGAGTTGACTGTTGTCGATTCGGGCAGTGTGTGCGTGGGTGCCCTGACGTCTTGCAGATGTGGCAGAACGGAGGTACAGGCTTTGGTTGTTGTCGGTTGTTGTTGTTGTTGTTGTTGTTTTTGTAGCGTCGCTGAGTGTGGAAAGCGAATTCCGGTGTTGACGTTTTTCTCTTGTGTCTTTCTTCTTGCAGGTCCATGTCTTGCTGTTCGGCATGAATTTCGGCGCAGAGTGCCGCTTCGGAAATCTTCCCGTGAGCTCGGAGAATAGCTGGAGTGGAGCGCCAATGAGGACCAAGTCCAGTGATGACGACCGTGACGAAAGCTTCTTCAGAGATTGAACCTCCGCATCGAAGGAGTTTGTCGCGTAGTTCGCGACAGCGGCTGATATACGCCATTCCTTTTTCGCCTTGTTTCATCTCGACTGTTGTCAGTTGCGCCATCAACTGACTCTGATTTACGCTGTCTGTTGCTTGATACTGGCTCTTCAAGTGGCTGTATGCGAGTTCGGCGGAGTTGCCGTATCCTCGGTAAGACCGTATATTCTGCTGCTGGGTGATGTTCCTCAGTAGAATCGTGTACGCCATCATTGACTGGTAGGTGTACTGTTGCTTCTCGTACTGTGTGCCGTTTGTTGGGTATGGCAGAGATCCGTCGAAGAAACCAAGAATCTGCGCGTCTTCCACATTAACTCGAACTCGAACGACCAGGTGAAGAAGTCTTTTCCGTCGAAAGGCCTTGACGTCTGAAGTTTTAAGACGTGCGCGAATTGCGACTGAACTTGAAGTGCGTCCAGTGGTTTCTCCTGTCCAGGTGTAGGCTGCGGTTGTGGCATAAAGCTGACGGAGCCGCGCTGGGGCTCGTACGGAGCAAAGGTAGGTTGCTGTTGTTGATTTCCACGTGCGTAGGATGATCCATCAAGGCTCATTGGAGTCACGTCGTTGTTGTTATTGCTATTGTGTGACTGCGCAGGTGCCGATTGCTGGTGTTGCTCGTAGAAGGACATGAAGGAGAAAAACTTCTCCATCATGCTCTGGTCGAAGCCTGCAGGTTGATTCGCGGGAGTCTCGGTGGATGTTGCCCTGGGTCTTGTTGCCGTACCCTCCTCTGTCTGTAGGCCAGAGGCAGGAGGTGGAGTAGGAGTAGTGCCGGGAGAACCAATAGAGGAACTCCTTTCCTTCTGAGTAGCCATGTCTTCTGATGTTGTAGGTGTCTTGATAGTTGAATTCCCCCTGATAGCTCTCATACCATGTTGGGCTGAGAAAATAGCCCTTAGGATCTTTGCAGGGGTGAATTCTGGGTAGAACTGATGTAGTAGCGGAAGCGTTTAATGAAGAGTTGTGAACCACCTTGCGCTAGTATGTGAGGGCAAAGTTGATTGATTAAAGCAAAGAGATACAGGATTATATAAGAGTACAAGGAATACGAAGAGATACAGTTATAACTAATTTACTGTTGCTGTTGCGGTTTGATGCAGTGACGACTCGGGCAACTGCTCTGTAGCGAGTCAGTTGTGTGTCCTTACTGTCGCGCTGTACTTGTCAGGTCAAAGGTCGCTGACCTTTGACTTTCGCGTAACCTCCAGCAGTTGCTCAACCTCCGAGGGTTGACTCGCTGGTGCTGCGATATGTTGTGCTTCGCTTGTGCCTTGGTGTTTCGACACGACAGAGGCGCTTAGAATTAGTTGTTTCCAACAGAGCAAAGGAGCGAGGAGAGCAAGGAGAGCATGGGCAGCGGCAGCAGCGGCAGTGGCAGCAGCAGCAGCAGCGGCAGCGGCAGCAGCAGTAGCGGCAGCAGGAGCGGCAACGACAGCAGCGGCATCGGCGGCAGCGGCAGCGACAAATGGAAGCATGTCACTGCAATCTGGTGGAAGGAGGGAGAGGAAAACAGGGGCGGTGGTGCTGAGACAGGATAAAATATGGAAGTGGACGGAGGTGCAGAGACAGGAGCATCTGGGAAAGTGGGGCTATGTGATTGTGCATGAGGATGTGCGCATTCATTTGTGTGTCTGTATGACTCACCTGCAAGGCATGTGCATGTGTGCATGCATTGCATCGATTCTGCTAGGAGCAACCTGCTGCACAGCAGGAAAGTGTGAAATAACATGAGTGATGGAGCATCAGCAGCAGCAGCAGCAGCAACAGCAGCAGCAGCAGCAGCGGCACCGGCAAAAAGGGAGAGGATGGAAGGAGAGTAAGAAAGGTAGAGGGTTCCTGAGTGGATGGGAACGAGAGCACGCATGCAGCAGTAGAGTGGTCTGTCGGATTACGGGTAACCTAGCTCGTTTCAGTTGACCTGCTTACTCCGTGGAAGATCAGAGTGCAAGTGAATTAGAAGAAGGGAGCATGTGGTGTGGACGGAAAAGGGAATCAGTAATACCGGTATTACTGATTCGATTGGTTCAGTAATAGGTACATGTGTTTCTCTATGAGTTTGTGTGCATGGTGTGCAAGGGCGAGGGTTGTTGGAGGCCACTGACCTTGACCTTATGACAGTAATGACCTGTGCCGTATTACATACCGGTAACATCAAACATTGTTTACTGTTAAGCTAGTTAGTGATTGTTATAAAGAGATTGGTTCATTCCAGTGGTATAGGGGGTGGCGCTTTATACCGTAATAAGTTGCTTACACTTGGCATTACAAGGACATCGTACAACAAGAATGCAGATGCACCATCCTTAAGCAACAGGGCACGAGGTGTAGATGCAGCAAGCACTACAGGAAGATTGCAGGCAAAACAGAGGAAACATGGCAGTTTCACCTCTTTCAGAGAGGAGGAAGCAGTAGACCCCCTACACTTATTCACAGCCACTAACGCGGCTTCTCTCCACATATTTTATGGTGTGGCTGGCACCACCCTGTGAGGAACAGAGCAGTCCTGACAGAGTTCGTTCAGAGAGTGTAACGCAGCGTGCCTTCAGCAGTGTCCCCCGCTTCTGACTCCACAGTCAGCTTAAACACCGAATCCACTGCCGAGCCTGGCAGGGCCGCTGCACGCATGCTGGAAGCAGCCGCGTAAGCAGCGTTTGCAGTGCCAGCAGCACCCGACACGCTCGGGAAGTTGTCGAGCCACTCGCACAGCCACACGCCGGGGCGGGGCTGGGACCACGCGCAAGGCAGGGAAAGGTCGGTGGTGTCAGCAGTAGCCGGGTCGGTGACAGAGATTGTTGCTGACGGCTTTGGGGCGTCTGGGGAGACCACCACGATGCTCACGTCGAGCTTGCACTTGCGGTTGCTGCGAGGGAGAAGGGAGAGGGAGGAGGGAGAAATGAGGCAGTGGGGTTAAGATCTGTCTGCGCAGACAGTGATATCCTAGGAAGTGGGTAATTTAGTCTTATTATATTGCTGTGAAAGAAAGTTTGGCATGCACGAACCAGGATTGAGACATTTGTGGTGCAGCTAGCAGGGACTCACATGTTGGAGACGGCAAACATGGCTCCTCCTTTGAGCTTCTCGCTGTTAATTGCTGCCTGGAACCTTCCAGCGGCAACCCCAGCCAGCAGATCGGTTTTACCTGCAGCAACATCGAGCTCAAAAGAGTTAGATAATTGCTCATCTTAAAAATCATTTTATGGGAGCGAAAGAGGTGAACTGGGCAATCTCGGGTTGTCAGTCAAGACACACGACTGCTCCGCACAACAATCAAGAAAACAGAAGTACACAAACTGGGTCACCAGGGCGGAGCGGAGCCAAGCAACGTACCGAACACTTGCTCCATTTTCGAATTCGCCTTGGCTACCGCGAGGTTGGCATTGGAGTCGACCATGAGCCCCATGTTGCGTGCGTCTGTGTATGTAAGACTCAACGCATACGAATTCACGCGAACCCCCACGCCAGCCGTGAATCCGATGTTGTTGATGTCGGCCTGAGTCAGTTTGGTCTGGCCGAAGCAGTCCCACACGCTTGGCGCGACTTGCGAGCACTGCATGTTCTTTCCGAGCGAGCCCAGCACGACAGGAGATCTCGCGTTCAGGGTCACTTCTTGCGGCGGATAGGGCGAGCCTGCAGCGGTCAGGCGGAACTGCGACGGCTTGGTCGCGGATCTGACAAGGTTGGGAAGGAATTACCAAAAAAAAAACAAACAAAAAAAACGGGAATTTAATTGTTGAACATGACACCCCTCAGTGATCACGCGGAACTGCAAGGTTGTGCGGGAAAAGGGGGGAGGAGCAGGGAGACCAAGGGGACAGGGGGTTAGGGAGAGGGGGAAGAAATTGGGGAATAGGAGGGTAGGGAGGGCGGAAAACGTATCTCCACTCGTGGGTCGTTCTGTCGCCGTCCCTGCCGTCAGTGATCGCGCGCACGGCTCAGTGCTCCCACAACCATACTACTGCATGTGACAAGCCATATGCTATGCTCACGGCACGAAATTCCCGACCCCAAATCAGACGCTAAATTTTTCCCTACTCTGAATCCCGGGTTTAGGATCCTAGATTTCTTACTTGGAGGGGACAGCGATGCTGAACGTCCCTGCCACGGTCTGATCCGAAAAGTCCGCACTGTAGAACTCTGCATTGGCGATCATCCAACGTGGCAATGAGAAGGGGAGGAGGCGAGATGATGGAGAGACATCTCGAGTCATGGAATACGATAACCGACACAAAACGCGACAGATAATGTATAAGGATTTATCACGAGAAATTACCACAAAATTCAAACTCAAGCAAGCCGGGAGAAGGATTACAACTTAAGCAAGCCGGGAGAACAGGGTGCAGAGCAAAGGAGCGAGAAGAGCGATAGGGAAGGGATGGAGGCACTGACTGGCGGCGGGCGTGGGCGGCGGGAAAAGCATGGTGAGGACGGCCTTCACAAACGCGAGGCCCGCCTTTGCGGCGCGCTGCTTGGCCGCCTCGCTCAACGCCTCTGCACCGGGAAGTGACGACGAGAGCAGCACGCCTGCAGCGGACCAAAAAAGAAAGTTGTCAGAACGATGAAAACAGTAAAAGCAAGTTAAAAGTGCGTGGCGATGGGAATAGAAAATTATATAAGCCTGTATAACAGCCCAGCGATCGAGGAGAGACGCATGAGTTGATGAGAAGTCATACCGGCGATGATGAGGAGACACGTGAGAACACGGGGAAGAGCCATCGCGGGTGTTTCTGTTGTGTCGCTGAGAAGCCCTAGACAGCAATACCACTGATGTGAAAGGAACTCGCGGTTGCAACAGAGTTTGCGGTCTTAAGAGAAGAAGGAGCTCTTTGAAAGGAATGTTTAGGGAAGAGAAAGGCTGTTGATGAGAAAAGGATGTGGCTCTGATGGTGGTAATAAACGATTTACGGATGAGAAGGCTTGCGTCCAAGGGTGGAAGTGAACACGCAGCGCTCAGCTGCTTTGTGTGAGGTAAGCGCGAAACCCGGACCGTCATTGTCGGTCCGTCAACCATTTGGCCAGGGGTCCAGCGATAATGCAAACGTCCGCGTTCCATTGGAGAAGTGAAATAATAGAGGCTTCATGCGTTCCGTTATTCACGGAACGAAGCAAGAGACGTTCGCGTCTCAGCTGCGCCGATGGAACCTAGTTGGCAGGAAATAGGCTGAGCTATGTACGCGTTCCTGAATGGTGAAAGCTAGGAAGAAAACTGGGAAACTGATTGACTGGCTGGCTGGTTGAGATGTATGAGGCGAAGGGGTGCTTCATGGCGCAGGACGGTTTCACACGGTGGAAAACTGTTTTTGAGTTTTACCGTGTGGCTGGCTGGTTGTGACCGTTTGAAGGCGGTGGGGAGAGGAGAGGAGGAAGAACAATTAAAGCTGACGGAAATCAGCACACCAATAATTCCGTTCCTCATCTGACAGAGCCGTCAGACTCCGTCAGCTGCGGGCTGTTGCTGGTCGCGGTTCACTGAATCCTAAAATGAACGGGGCTGACCGTGAAGGAGGATGGTTGAAAGGGAGCTGTTTGTTGGGTTTGTGTCGCTGAAACGGGTTTTTCGTTGGTGTCTGAACGAGTCAGCGACTTCTGACGAAACCCTTCGCAAGTGGGGGTGCCACAGAGGGTGGTGGTAATTCAGGATGTCAACTTTCGCACGTAAGGTTTCTGCCCCGTGTCATGGAAATATTTGGTACTGCATTATTGCTGCCCAACAAGGGCGGGCAGATTTTCAAGATGAGCTCGCCCAATCACTTCATCGGAAGCAAAAACTTATTTCTGCCAACCAAACACACCAATGCGATTTTCAAATAGCGCGCTTCGGACACCCAATAATGCAGTGCCTGATTCTAACCTCCAATCCCATCGCCCCACCCGATCCATTCCTTCCTCCGCCCACCTCTATCCATCGTTATCTCTCTGCAACGCATATTAATCCCCTGTAAGCCTCCGTAAATTCCTCAGCCAAGCTTATCCGCCTCTACCCCATCCTTCTTCCCAAGCAGACGACTCCACACAGTACATAACATACTTCACAACATTCATCAGTTCACATCGTGCTTTTCACCTCTCGAGCAGCAATCCCGCTTGCACTTGTGCTCATTCTCGCTCCTACCCAGTTTTCTTCCAGACCAGACCGAGCTTCTTCTGCTAATTCTTTCTACCTCCATTGTCCGTTCACGGCATTTCACTCAAACGTGTCGTCATGGCCCGCCTCGCAATTCCGCATTGGCTCGTATCCTGCCTTATGTGCCTTCCTGGTAAGAATCTTCAAGGCGCAAAATTCAGATGGCCCGTTCATTACAGCTACCCTCATCTTTGAAAGAAATCTAAGCCTTTGCGGTTGTATTTTACATCGATTTACGCTGAAAACAAAAAATCATACACGATACACTTGATTTTCGCCGCAGGACTCGTGCTTCTCCTCTGCGCGGCGCCTGTCACCGTGACTTCAGCGGCGTTCGAGGTCGCGGACGCGGATATCAAGAAATTCGTTCCAGCAACCTCTTCGAAATCATGTAAGTCCATACGCGTCACCGCTTTGACCCAGCGTCACGCTCAGTTTGTGTTACCATTCTGAGACTAGAGCGGTCTCAGCGGCTAACCCCTCGTTCTCCCGTTCCCACTCCATATCTTTGCAGCATTCTACAGTGCTCTGGTGGTTTCTTCATACGAATCGCAGGGGACCGTGATCGTGCGTATGCCTGCCGAGTAAGTCCGGCCTTCCAAAAGTCTCCCCGTGCCGTCGCATTCCTTCATTCCTCCATATCACGAAGATTCTCCAACCCAGCCGGCTGATAAACCGCCGTTTCTGCTGACTTCTGAAACCTCCGTGTTATTCATACTCCCCCCTTCCTCCCTCTCCCCGTCCGTTCCTCGCGCTCCCATCACCCCAGCACGGGCCTATTCCCGGTGGTTCTCCGGGTGGTCATGGCGGGAACCGTCGAACCGCCAACGGACGTCTTACTCGATGGCACGTCTCTGGCGTCGGACGCCAGTCAATGGAAACTGGTGGCTCCGGGTGTATGGGACCTGACTAGGAGTCTCGACTGGGGGGCCATTGCTCTAGGAAGCGCCTTGATTGGTGTCGGGGCCGAAGTGTCGCACGTGGATGTGAACGGCAACGCGATTACCGCGTCAGGATCGCTAGCGAAGATCGGATCTCTCGATACTGGTACGGACGCTCTAGTTATGAATCCAGCAAAGCAGATTGTGTTCTTCTTCCATCCATTCGTTATGATTACTCGTGACAGAACAAGTTATACTGCGTTGCGGCGGACTCTGTGAATTGCACCCTTCCCATTGCAATCCCCCTGATGCACCCCTCCTCGTGCATCCCCCCCCCATTCCGCCTTTTCCCGTTGTGACTCTCCCAATGCGCCCATCCGCCCCTCCCATGTGCCAGGCCTCGCAGTGCTGCCATCCATGTCAGGCGGCCGATTCCAAGCCATGTTCTCGGGGGCCGTGGCTGGGGGAGCCAAGATCCGCATCGCCACCAGCACGTGAGTTCCTAATTTCGGAACATCTATTGCGATGAGAGTGGTAACGGCGAAAGCCAATCCAGAGAGGCTGCATTCGAGGGGTTTGGGATTGTGAAGCTGGTCAGGGAGGAAACCTAGTATGACAAATTTCCGAGAATATAAAACTACAAGCAAGCAAATCGACTTATATTTGCTCTACTTGTTGTGTCCTCTGCTGCCCCCCCTTCTCTCTGTCCCCCCTCTCTGCCCCCCCTCTTTGCCCCTCCCCTCTATCCCCCCGCCATATAGCGACACCAAGGTCAGCCTGGAAGAGCACCTGGCCCTCATCAGAGGCGTGAAACTAAACTCAGCTTGTGCTCTTCCCTTCACCTGCTTTACCTCTTGTGTCCTGCTGCCCCCCCTCTGCTGCACCCCCTATCTGCACCTCCTCTGCCCACTCTCTCTGTCCCCCCTCTTTCCTGCACCCTCTCTCTGCCCCTTCTCTCTGCCCGTCAAGCAGCGACACCAAGGTTACTCTCGAGGTGCACCTGGCCTTCACCAAGGGCGTAAACACCAACTCAAAGGTCTCTCTGGTGGGTCAGGTCGGAGCCGACAAGTCTGCCCCTCTCACCCTAGCATGCCCCTTCACATCGAACATCAAGGGAGTGTTCACTTGCTCCAAGTATGTCGACGTGAAAATCCCCGCGGGAGCTGCTACCACGGCCGGCGTCTTGGGACTGCAGAAGTTTATGGCTGCTCTGGTGGGAGCTACCATGTCAGGTGATCACCTGGCGGCAACCTTCACCCTGATAGTGAATGGGCAGCAAGAGACCCTTTACTACGGTTTGTAGTTCTATCTTATCATTCCCGTGGAGTTCTTGCTTGTGAAGTACCGTCATGGGGGTGATGTGAGAGGAATTGTGATGTAACTGCATATCGTGGATTGCAACTAGGAACGGGGTCTTAAACGGGAAATGGGAGCATATGCTGCTTGTAATCTAGTGAATGTTTCTGCTTAATGATGACATTGTACACTGAATAACATTCGAAGACAAGATTCAGTTTGAAGCTGGAGGAGCTTGGGGACCCAAGTCACTTAGCTTCTTGTTATGCGGGTCCACGATCTGCAACCAGTTGAGAGTTAGTTCAGGCGAAGATGTCAGGGATAGTCACTGGAGCAAAGGCCCAACTCACCTTGACGATTATGATGGCGATCACTCCAAGAATAACAAGCGCCAGCATTGCCAAGATGCATTTATCTGTTGCCATCTGCTTCAGTGGTTGTGTTAAGCAGGTCGCATGGTTTAGGGAAAAGAGAGCACTCACCATCATCTGACTCACCTGTCGGCCCAATGCCTTCACAAGCTTGGCTGCCCGCTTAAGGGAGAATTCTAAATTGTCAAGCTTATCAACAATCCGTTCCATTTGTTCGGTCTGCACGCGTCACACAAGAGTAAGAACCCCGCACTTACAAGGCAGAATCTTCAGCGCCATACCTGTCCCTTCAAAGTCGTGGCCGTTGCTGCTCCAATGTTGATAGTGTTCTCAACTACCTGAAACACGAAAAGCACATACGGTAATAAACATATGCATCGCCTTCGACAAAGGTCTTCGAAGCAAGAAAGAACCTGCTTGGATCTTAGAACAGACCGCTTGTCCCATCACACGATTGCCCTCCTCCATCAGCTGAGCATTTGTCATCGCTGCAGGGAGATCAGGAATGAAAGCTCAATACGGCTGCGGAGCCAGATGGAAATTCATACGTCAACCAGGAAGGAAGTGTTACCAGATGCTAGCCGGGGAGCTCCCACAACTTCAGCCGTTCTTCCATCCTCGCTCAGCTTCACCTTCTGGCCTTCCTGGATAGCGCTCTGGTAGCTGCAAAAACAGCCTCATGATTAGACCTGGGGTAATGACATGAATGTTACACCATGTACGAACGTTTTTTTGAGAGTGACGAAGACGTTCAAATCTTTCACAAGGTTCCTTTTCTTCTCCTGCAGCAATTTGTTAACTTCTGGTGAGTTCTTAGCTTCTTGGTCTTTCATGTCACGCTCGAATTCCTGAATCAACCTGCAATAAGATCCGTTTGCTCAGTAACGCGACTACGCAACTTCGACGCAACGGCAGAGTTTTCATATCCACCTTCTGCACTCTAAGTTTAGGCGTGACATCTTCCAGCAACTGGCTTTGTCGAGAAGGGTCTTCGCACTTGTCAATCTTTGAGAAGGTGGTCCTGGAACAGATAAAGAGTGTCAAACTCTGCATAGGTTCTAAGCGTACTATATATTCACCTCATTCAACCGACTCACTTCAACTGGGTGAAGCTTCTACCAAGCTGGTTCGAGATATCGTTCAGGGAAGGCGGCAGGTTCGTTAACGACATTCTGCCTCAGCGTCCAGAATCGTCCCAAAATCGTGACCTTGGATGATACAGTCTGTTTGTGTACTGAATCTGATTTACAGGAAATGGCATGAAGCGATTCATCTGTGACCAACCCTAGAAGCCCTCTGCACTTGGTGTCTGGAAGCGCTGCGCATCCCCGTGAAGCAGCCACTGCCAGGAAAAGGACTCAACTTTTTGAACTGACTCATTTCAATGTAACACTGACAATGATTCAGGATATACCGGTAGTAATATATGAAGAAAATCTGGAAGCATTGTCACTGTCAGGCCAGATTACATGTGCTCGACCTTCTCTCGTTCTGGAGATTTGATACGAGCAAAACAACAATGTGCCAACAAGGATATATTTATGAAAAAAAAAAAATCAAGCACGAAGCGGCTTCAATCCAAGTTTCGCACGAAGCTTGTTGGCTTCCGCGATTTCAGGATCCTCATGATCTGTCCCATCTGCTGCCTTCTCTTTCTTCTTGCTCTTCTTCTCCCTGCCACATTAAAAACGAAACAATTATGAGCAAAACGACTATGTGACAACAAAGGATATATGTGTGCTGTGTAGAGATTTGGTGATGTAAACCCTATGGACAGCATACTTACTTGGTCTCGTCAGCCGCCTCATCTCTTCGATCGCGTTTCCTCGAATCACCATCCCTGTCCCTGTCTCTATCCCGCTCCCGCTCCCTGTCCCTGTCCCCATCCCTGTCTCTCTCCCTGTCCCTACCCCTATCTCTTTCCCTGCTCCTGTCTCTTCCCCCATCCCTATCCCTGTCCCTGTCTCTGTCTCTCTCCTTACCCCTGTCTCTTGCCCAATCTCTGTCCCTATCCCTATCCCTGTCCCTCTCCCTGTCTCTGTCCCTCTCCCTGTCTCTGTCCCTGTCCCTGTCTCTGTCTCTGTCTCTCTCTCTCTCTCTCTCCCTGCCTCTGTCTCTGTCCCTGTCTCTATCCCGGTCCCTGCAAAGGTGGAAGCAAAGAGGCAACAAACAGAGAGATGTTATTGGTGTACAGATCTGACCTTAAGCGCACTTCACGCTACTCATTTCATCTTTATTCATCTATGAACCACACCAAAAAACACCCAATGATGTTCAGTGCTTTATACTTCTCTCAGAGCACTGCCAGCACTGGGAAACCTGGAAGCACTGATACCCATGACTGCACACTCAAGGAGCTCCGAAGAACTCTATAAGGAGTACAAAAATAGGTTTGTTCTTGGGAGAACATATGACACAAAGGCAACCCTCGTCCATGAAAAAAACGAGGGGACAAGAGTGAGTGGGCCATCTGGGAAAGGCAGCCTTGCAATGACAAGAAGTCATTGAAGGACTGCCTAAAAAAGATGAGCTCTTGCCGCCTTGCACGCACAACTGCAGCTTGCTTCAGGACGCTTCCCAAGAGGATGCTTCCCAGAAAATGCACAGTCGGCTGTTCTCCCTATCGAGTTAATGAGCGGAATTCAAACAACAAATAGCTAAGGGCACTTTGCAAACACTACCAAACGTTGCTCAGGAAAACAAAGACAAAAAGTACCTGAAATAAACTATCTGAGTACAGTGGGATACTGAATACAGTGGCACATACCTGTCTCGATCCCTGTCTCTGTCTCTGTCTCTGTCCCTGTCCCTGTCCCTATCTCTTTCTTTGCCCCTGTCCCTGTCTCGGTCACCCTCTCTTTCCCGATACCGATCTTTCTCCTCAGCCTGGACACACATGTATGTGCGGACAAAAACGGGAGAAATTCGAAAACAAAAACAGGTTGTAAAAAGAAACAAAGAGAATATACATGGAATGCACGAATGAATTAGGAATCTTTCTCATGCATTCATCCGTGCATTCAACAGGAGCGGAAAGAGGACTAGGTCGTACCTTATCAGCAACTGGTTCTGGCTCCTCTTCCTCCTCTTCCTCTTCCTCCTCCATCTCGTCATAATCCAACCCACTCTTTCTCAGCTCCAACTGCCCTGCTGCTTCCAACGTCCATCTGGAAAAAAGAAGATAAAAAAAAAAAAACACCAGATAGTAAAACTGCCGGAAGACTTCCACATTGAATTTTATGAATACATGACGGACAAAAAAACAGAAAAAGGGCTCGAACCAGGAGCAAAACACGTGCAACATAGACCACAGAGAACAAGGTTAGAATCAAAAGCAAGCCTCATACCTGCGAGGTATGCGAGGCAATGCGATGTCGCAGCTGGAGTCGAGCGTGAGAAGCTCCTCTATGAACTCGTCCACATGCGACAACACAAACACTAGGGGGAAAGAAAGGGTGGAAGGGGGCGAGCGGGGGGTGATGGGGGAGCAGGGAGGTGAGGTGATGTCGCAGCTGGAGTCGAGCGTGAGAAGCTCCTCTATGAACTCGTCCACGTGCGACAACACAAACACTGGAGGTGTGGGGTAGTGCACAGTAAAGGGGGAGTGGGGGGGACGAGTGGGGGGACGAGTGGGGGGTACGAGTGGGGGGGAGGAGTGGGGGGGACGAGTGGGGGGGGCGATTGGGGGAGAGAGGTGAGGTGATGTCACAGCTGGAGTCGAGCGTGAGAAGCTCCTCTATGAACTCGTCCACATGCGACAACACAAAGGCTGGAGGCACGGAGGGGGGAGAGGGGAACGAAAGGAGGGGGATGGGGAAAAGGAGGGACGGGCGGGGGTAAGCAATGTCACACTGGAGTCGAGTGTGAGAAGCTCCTCAATAAACTCGTCCACGTGCGACAACACAAAGGCTGGAGGCACGAGGTAGTGCGAGGAGGGGGGGAGGGGTGGGGCAGAGGGGGGAAAGGGGGGAGTGGTGAAGCGATGTTGTGACTGGAGTCGAGTGTGAGAAGCTCCTAGATAATTTTGTACAAAGGTTCCAGGTACAAGTTTATACACGCTTAGAATGGCTCCACGTCCGAAATGGCTTCTGCACTAGAGCACTTGAAACCTACCCAAATAAACCTCGCAACAATAATGAAAGACAAGAGCAGTAACTCACTTCCACTCTCCAGTTTCCTCCGCACTTTGCGGTAGTCTTTGTACAGAGGCTCCAGGTACTGGTACACGTCCCTGGTGGCTTTCGGGCTAGCACACTCAGAAACTTAGACACCTAGCCCACACTTAGAGACCTCTCAAGGATAACGATGGACAAGAATGGGAACTCACTTCCGCTCTCCAGTTTCCTTCGAACTTTTCGACAGTCGTTGTACAGTGGCTTCACAGGTACTGGTACACGTCCCTGGTGGCTCCCAGGCTAGCGCATATACAAACCTAGACACACCTAGAACTTACAACGATAACGATAGATAGGCGAGAACAAATAACTCACTTCCACTCTCCAGTTTTCTCCGCACTTTCCGATAATCGTTGTACAGCGGCTCTAGGTACTGGTACACATCCATTGGCTTGCCCACCAGCCGCAGGTAAAACGCTCCAAGCAGGCGAACGTACCTGAGGAGAAAGGAAGGGGGTGCATGGGAGAGAGGAGGGGAATGGCAGGTATGAGAGTTGGGTGATGGAAAGAGTAGGTCTGAGCTGAGTGGCTCCAGGTACTGGTACACGTCCATGCGCTTGCTCACCAGCCGCAGGTAGAACGCTCCAAGCAACCGCACATACCTGAGGGGTATAAGGGGGGCGGGGAGTGGAAGGGGGAGGCGGGAAGGAGGGGAGGGGGGGAAGGAAGGAAGGAGACGATGTAGGTTGCAAAATTCCAACAATAGAGCGTCGTCGCCCCTTAAAAAGCCCAACTCGCATCCCCGAAAAAAAAACGATCAAAACTGAAGAATCTTGAAAACCAGGCAGATGTGACCGTCGACACATCAAGTAACGTACTCACTTGTAATCTGAGTTCTTTATAAACTCGACCACGATCTCCTTCTCGGGTTGAATCTGAAGCATCTTGAGAATGAGGCACATGAACGGGGTGGGCTTGCGATTTCCTCCGAAGGTTCCTCCGAAATGGTCCAGATCCATAGCTTTGTCGACCAGGGTTTCAGCTGCCGCGAAGAGACGGAGGAAACACCACGAAAAATGAAGGGTTTTTATTTACAGAAATTTAATTGCTTGCAGGAACGGGGACGAAAACAGGGGAACCGGGAAAACGATATTCACCCAAGAAACTCAAGTGGCATAAGTGGAAATAAGGGTGAAGAAACGCAGACAGGAAGAGACGGAACCGAAACTCGCAACGCGAAACAGCGACAAAGGTCACGAAAGGTATCGGGAGGCGGGGAGGGGAGGGCCGGGGGGAGGGCGGAAACGGCGGAACATAACGATAATCCGATAATCTCGAGGTCTAAGGGTTAGAAGGTCAGTGTTTGAGAGAAAGTGGTCAAGAGGACGCAGCATCGAGTTCATCGGCAAAGGCGACGAAAAGCTGACGCAATGAGAACGAAAGAAAAGAAAATTAAATGAACAATTCCCCTTTCGAAGTCGAAAGGACGAACCTGTGAGGCCGAAACATTGCTCCTTCCAGTAAATGTTCTGATAGATCTTGGCGCGCAGAATCTTCTCCACCAGATTCTGCGGGTTCGTGCCGTGAACCGTTCGCGCCCTTGGATCCGTTCGATTTGCCATGGCGCATCAAGAAGACGACAACAATCACCTTGTCTATCCGCAGCGATCTCCTAAAGCGCAACGTCAAGGAGACAGTGATCACTGGTTCTACACTCGGATCGATTTTCTAGGGTTCGACGTCGAACGGGAGGCCTCGCCAGAAGTGAATGGCCGTCACCCTCCAGAAGAGAGTTCCGCTTTTACTTCACCCTCGTGCCATAGACATGGATACTTACCCTAACAGGTGACGAAGTGGTAAGGGCGTGTCCCACGAGTTAGTTTACAGTTCAAGTTCAGTGTTGTAACCCTGTTTCCCGTCTGTAACCCTTCCCTGCATGACATGCGTCTTCAATGACGCACCGGATGACACGCCCAGGACGTCAAGATGTTCGTACTATCCCACGTACAAGGTACGTGAGATCACTTCGTACCGGGTCCTCCATTCCGTTACCCCAATCGGAGACTTCGCCCACATTCAGTCGCGCGAAGAAAAAAATAAATTTCGCAAAGGGCACAGTTGATTCGCACTGTGGCGGGTTACCGCTCGCGGCCCATGTTCGGATGACGATTTTTGTGTGGGTGGGGCTATGAGTCCGCGTGGGTCAATTTCGTTTGGCGCTGTGCTGACGCGCTGCGTGCTTTTCACGTCAGAGTGTACACTTGCTTTGTCGAAATTACGTAAATAATATGATTTTCTACCCAAATGAACTCATGGGACACGCCCTAAGACTGCCTAATGGGAAAGTACATCCCAGCTCCTGTGTTTCAGATTTCTCTCATATTTAGCCCCAGGTTTACTAAAAAAGTACGACTTCCTGGAAGTTTGCTCACGCGAGGCCCAGATTATGTTCAAAACTGGTCCTGCGGGTAAATTTTTTTTGACACGTGTCCAATTCGCATTAATTTTTTTCGCCCTAAGGACGCGTCCCTGAAGCGGATCGATCGGCTGGAAGATCGGTTTTGCGCATGGGGTTAGCTCTGTAGCGTCGTGATCAGCAAGGTAACTGAATTTCGTGAACGTTCGCGAATTAACAGTAAAAATGTGCCCACGAACATGTCACCTACGGGAGCCCTGATCGATACAGCGAAGTAAAAATATCGAGCGTGAGATTGGGTGGCGGGGTGTTGAATTTCGCGCCACAAGTGACAGTCAAATTCGAATGTTTTCGCTCGTCATCGCATACCCTAGGTTTCCCAGTGCGATTCTGCGCACGACAACATTGCTGTTGTCGCAGGCTAGGTTACCACAACCCCGTAACCTGCCATACCGAACCTGTCACCTGTATATCGGTGCGCCGTAGCTGTGCAGTCATGGGCACCGATCTCTACCGAGCTTGGGCTCGAAATGACAATCGGTGCGGATCGGCCGATCTTCGGCCGATCCGCTTCAGGTGACGCGTCCTAAGTATCAGGTCACCTGGCGACGCCACTATTCAGGGCACAATACAACCAGCTTCGTCTCCACAATCAGCATCTCCTTACTTCAACTCTCTAAAAGCACATACGTATATATTCGGACTTCTGTTTGACCACTGTATTTGAAACTCAATTTCTGTATCATAGCATAAGAATTGAAGCAAAGAAAAATTAACCTTCAAAATTGTTTCATTTACCGCTCACAGCCTCAACATACTTTCAACGTACTCCATGCAGTAAAAGCAAGCACATTGCACAATGCCATCATTCATTTCTAAACTACAAATTCCCCAAGCGCCCAGGTTTGTGGGATCTGCCTGTCATTGAACTGTCTGTCAGGCCAGACAAGATTTATGGTAATTAGATCATCACAACAGCTGCGTTGCAAGAGATTATGCTTTGATGACAACATACTTGCCTGACAGCCAGGCCCTCGGATTGGTTTGAGGGTATGCTGATGGATCAGCGTGCCCCGGCCAACGAGGTGTCCAAATCAGCATTCACGGTTTTTTTTATACTGATTTTGCCAGTGTAAAAATCATAAGTAAACTGAACCAACAGTGTAATAACAAAAAACTATAGCTGAAACCCCAGTACAAGGTGTGTGGTGTTGTTGCTGTGATAGGTTCCAGCGAGGCTAAACACTTCGGCGCGCACCTGATATCTGTGCAGTGCATGCGAAAAAATGCCAAGTGTGTGGGTGGGGTCTCAGGAATCACGGGAAGGTACAGATTGTACATGCGTACCCTATCACCCCCCCCCACACGCGGTCAACTCCGTTTCAGTGTGACTCACGTCACTATACTGATTCGTCAGTGTTTCTTGTAAAGAAACACGCAAAATGGTCAGTGTGACAAGGTAGGATATACTGAAATTTCAGTGCAAAATTGAAGCATATGCTGAATTTTCTGGGAAAACGAAAATCACAGCTACAAAATCAGCGTAATCAGCGTGTTTTACGCTGATATCTGAGGGCCTGCTGACAGCCCATTGCTTCAAGTGGAAAATATCAAGCATACATATTCACACAAAAAGTGCCTTAATGCGGCAGACAAACAAATCTACTACTTGCAGCCGAGCTCGAGGCGTGTGAACTCCCCGAGCGTCTGGTTACGGCAGAGCTTCTGCACATCGACGTAGCCAATCAGCGCGTCCTCAAAGATTGTATCGGTGAGGTTGGCGTCGTTGAACGTGGACCCCGACAGCACCGCGTTGCGGAACGACGCTCCCGTCAAATCTGCCTCGTTGAAGAGCACCCGATCCAACACCGAGTTGCTGAAGTCCGCACCTGAACAAGGAGGGTGGGAGAGGAACGGTAAGGGCATGCAAGGAGTCAAAATGGTGCATTGTCAAGATCTGAAGACCAGCCTCGCTGAAGAGCATCTGATCCAACACCGAGTTGCTGAAGTCGGTGCCCGGGGGACTGAGGTGGACAGAGGTGGGAATGAGGTGGACAGAGGTGGGGATGATGAGGTGGACAGAGGTGGGGATGATGAGGTGAACAGAGGTGGGGATGATGAGGTGGACAGAGGTGGGGATGATGAGGTGAACAGAGGTGGGGATGATGAGGTGGACAGAGGTGGGGATGAGGTGGGGATCAAATGTGGACAGAGGTGGGAGAGCTGGCCCCAACGGCGTACGACTTGGCCATGACGGTCTCGGTGAGACTAGCTTTCCTCAGCCTGCAACGAGAGGGGAGCAAAAGCCTCCCTCTAGCCAAACATGTGGCATGCGCCCTGGCAGGATGCTCTCACTCACCCCTGAAGCTGGCCCCAACAGCATAAGCCTTGCTCATGACGGTCTCAGTGAGGTCGGCGTTGTCGAAGTTGGCGCCCGACATGAGAGCGGACGACAGCGTCTTGCCCTTGAGGTTCTCCTTGTCGCCCGAGAAGTCGCACTGCCGCAGGTCCAGCACCTTATCCGACACGCCGTTCGCCTGCCCGATCGTGTTGCCCACAAACGCGCGCTCACAGCGCGCCGGGTCGTTGGACAGGGGGGGCAGGCGCACCTGGGGTAGGAGGTGCGGAGAAGGAAGGTTGGGGGGAGGGGAAGAGGGGAGGAGGGTGGGGGGGTGAAGCGGGGGGAGGTTGGGGAGGGAATGGGGAAGGAGATGGGAGAATGGGAAGGAGGATTGAGGAAAAGAGAGGGATGTGGGTTCTCCTTGTCCCCTGAGAAGAAGAAGTCGCACTGCCTGAGGTCCAGCACCTTATCCGCCAGGGGGAGAAGCACCTGCAGTGGGGGGATGGGGAGGGGGGAGGTGCGGAGGTGGGTGGGGAGGGGATGGGCAAGGGGATGGGAAAATGGGAAAGACGAGGAGGGAATGGAAGAGCGAGCCTCACCTGGCTTTGCCGAGCCTCACCTGGCCGTTCCGAGCCTCGCCTGGCCATTCCGAGCCTCGCCTGGCCGTTCCGAGCCTCGCCTGGCCGTTCCGAGCCTCGCCTGGCCGTTCCGAGCCTCGCCTGGCCGTTCCGAGCCTCGCCTGGCCGTTCCGAGCCTCACCTGGCCGTTCCGAGCCTCACCTGGCCGTTCCGAGCCTCACCTGGCCGTTCCGAGCCTCGCCTGGCCGTTCCGAGCCTCGCCTGGCCGTTCCGAGCCTCGCCTGGCCGTTCCGAGCCTCACATGGCTGTTACGAGCCTCACCTGGCTGTTACGAGCCTCACCTGGCTGGGCGAGGGAGCAGCGAGGGCGGGAGCGGCAGTAGCGAGCGAGACGGCGACACATGCGCCGCAGATGGCGGTGGCAGCTGCCGTGGCGATGGACGCCGCCAATGACGGCTTTTCCTCCGCCGAGGCCCCTGGGAGAAAGGGGGAAGGAGGAACAGGGGGCGAGGGGAGGGGGGGGGGGGGGGAGACGGGGGAAGGGAGGGTTGGAAAAGGGGGGGAGGGAGGACTTTCGAGGCGCCTTAAAAGCAGATGGCGGTGGCTGCCGCCGTGGCGATGGACGCCGCCAGAGATGGCTTCTCCTCCCCCGAGGCCCCTGGGAGGACGAAATAGGGTGGGGAGAGGGGGAGGGGTTGAGGAGAAAAGGGAAAGGTGGGGGGTGTGAGCAGCCCGGTTTAGTGGGGGAAAGGGGGGGGAGGGGGGGGACGGAGGGGGGGGAAAGGGGGAAACGAAAGGGGGGGAACGAAGTTGGGGAAAGAGAGGAGGGCGGGGGGGGGGGGGGGGGGGGGGACGGTAGCTTTGACGCGAGAGAGAGGGGAGAGGGGGATGTTTGATGCTTGTGGGAAATCCAACCGTTGATATCTGGAGAGAGGGCGTGCAAGATTTGTGTGGCCTCCGGGGAACATTCCGGTCATTGCTCCATATGACCAGTCGAGCTGGTGATTGGCGTTCGATACCCGTCATGATTGATGTACCTTGTCATTCGTTGGTGAAGCCACCGTCTTGCACCGTCTCTAACACCATACAATGTCACCATGTAATGTCACAGCGTAGATGTCTGAAGCAGCGAATATGTCTGACGTCACCATATATCATGTTACCGTGTAACACAGCGAGTGCGAAAGAGCACGAAACGGCGAGATGACAGAAGCAGTGATACGAGGTACGCGTCGCGTGGTGTCATGACATTACACTACAACTAAGTTCTACGTGATAAGGATGCTTTTGAGTCGACTCAAAAGCGTGATAAGGCTTCTCCGACGCGGTGCACTAATTTGTTGATGACGACAATGGCAAAACATATGTCTCGCAGTGTCTACTTGGTGAATGTGCTTGCTCACTTGCGGAAACTTAAACCTGACCAGAAAGTAAATGTACTCGCAGAAATGTCTACTCACTCGCGCGGATGGTAACTCACGAAAACAACTGTGTAACATTGCCCACTTACTCGCGACAAGTGCCGCTTTCCTTGAAAATGCTGCTGCGGGCCTGGCAGAGACAACTGCGAGCTGCCGGCCAGCGACGGCCTTGCCCTGCGAGGGCAGTACGGAGCAGCGAAGGCTGGTGGACGGTGCAGCGACGGTCGCCATTGCGCTGTGGGAGGAGAAGATTAACTCGAAAACGCAACGGAACTGCGAACGACAAGCAGATGCAGTAAGGCAGATAGTGAAGGCTGCTCACTCCAAGCTCAAGAAACTGATCTGTAAGTTCTGAAGTGAAGGTGAAGTCGATGCGATGGCTGCTCTGAAGAGCAGGAAAAGCAAGCGGAGTTACAGTCTGATCTCAACATTTGGTTTCATTTGGTTTCATTCCGTCACTTTGTTCATCGCGTACGTTAACAGCCAAACTCAGGTGGCGTGCCTGTAACCAGTCTGCAACGAGGTGCTCTGAGTGTGCTAAGTGTTAACTGTTAGGAATCTCTTGAAATCACAGAACCATGGCCGGGTTTGCATACGCCCTCGCGTCTTTCAAGGAAAGAACCATGGCCGGGTTTGCATACGCTGAATCGAAGCCTAGAAAATGCTGGCGCTGCGCTGGCATGCCCAGTCATTCACCAAAGTAAACAGAAAATCGGGAGGGTCTGCCGATGTGGCATGGTTAACTTCCGCCACGACGCTGCCAAGATCCACGACCGTCGTGGCAGCGTTAACATGACACGTCATGTATGACACCAGGTCAGATGGGTTCTCCAGGAATGATAGGTACACCAGAATTTTTTGCCCCTTTCCAACTAAAAGTGGAAGGGATATATATATGTAAGGAATTTTCTCGATATTCCTTAGCGCGCCCGGCAACATCGCGTACAGCAGCAGCCGTTGTTCGCCCGTTACTGCTAACGGGGCTTCGCCGACTTCGCGCGCACTGTTTCACCAAACCTCGCACTGCTGGCCTGGCCGTATCGGCCTACGTTTCGGGACTAGCCCGAACCTCGCTTCCAGCATAGCACTAGCTAGCTCGCACGCACCGCGTTACCGTTTGCATGTTTCGCGCATAAATGTTCGCTCATGCCTTCGCTCACATTTTGTACTCGTTTGACACCTTATTGCAATTCTCGCTACTTCGATTCATTGCACCCGTAACACTTGGTTATCAGAGCCTCTTTCTTTTCGGACCGCGCATCTCCGCACCCCAGGAAGCCAACTTTTGATTTTTTACTCGAAGGGACTCACACACCTTAGCACCTAGGAGCCGGTGTCCTCGCGTTCTCTCGTAAACGCGTGCAGCCACGACTGCACCTAGACTAAGACGAGCCGACGCCCTTCGGAATGGCAGAACATATTGACGTCACTAACCTCATGCAGGACCGCCTGGATGAGTTGCTGCGACAACTGCACGAAAACTCCGAAGAAATCGTGGCATTAACGGCGGAACGCACCTCCCTGCAAAATGACCTCGCACGAGCACAATCCCAAGCACCTGGCACCCCGATTCAACCCGCACCACAGACATCGCAACACGGAAGTGTGGGGCAACCCGCGAGCGCCGCAAGTGATGGCGTTGTCCGCCATGACGGAGACGACGACCACGGCACGACACACCCCGACCCGACGAATGCGGCCAGGAATCAGCCTCGAGTCACTATTTCGGTGCCGTCCGGTGAATCAGCTCTACCGTCGCCGATGCCGCTGAAGCCGCAGCGCCCGCCATGCTTTGACCCAAGTCAGCGGGGTGGTCTTACCGTTCAGGCGTGGCTTTTCACGTTGAACGTTTTCTTCGACGCGAACTACGTCTCGGAGGATACGGCGAAGATTCGCTACGCCGTGTCGTTGCTGCGAGGACCCGCCATGGACTGGTGGCGTGTCATCGTCACGAAGCCGGTGGACTACGCGACTCTACCGACACGGGAAGGACAAACCGGACCCTGGGCGCCGTCGTATTTCGTGGAGGTGCCCCAGTATCGCACGTGGGACGCGTGGTGCGCAGGTCTGCGCGCTCGTTTCGAGCAAATTGCGGCTTCGATCGCAGCGCGACAGAGGCTCCGCACTTGGCGCCAACTCGGTTCCGTCCAAGACTACATGAGCGGGTTTCTGGCGCTATGCGAGCAGGTGGGATACATGCATGAGAGCGAGCGCATCGACCGCTACATCGGCGGCCTGAAGCAGGACATCGCTCAGAAAATCCAGCTTCGCGGCGTCACCGATTTTCAGGAGATTCTCGCCATGGCAGAGAAACTCGATTTCTTCCGCCGACCGAGACCGGTGTCCTACGGAAGCAGCAATTGGGGACATCGGCCTCGTGGGACGAACGAGGGCGCTACGATACGTGCCGTCGCCACAAATGCCGCTGCCGCACCGTTCAAAGGGCGCTGCTTTGCGTGAAATCGGCCGGGACACCGCAAGAGCGAATGCCCGGAAAATGCTAAGGGAAAGGGGGAAGCTGAGCAGCAGAAACAGACCAAGCAGCAGGGAAACGCTGGGAGTCAGTAGCATACGGACCTTCTACTGACAGGTCACGCCGCTCGCCCGACCCAACCGACCCTCACTGGGTGATTGTGCCGGTTCACGCAATCGACCACACCCGGCCGAATAAGGAGGGTACTACGGTAGACAGCCCTATACTGCTTAGTGGGAAAATCGGGACGGACTTAGTTAAAATCTTCGTAGACGGAGGGGCCAGCTACAGCCTTATCAACACTGCCACAGCACGAAAACTGCGACTGCCACTGGACAGATGCTTACCTGAGATCGACGCAAGACTGGTCGACGGCACGCCACTGGCGATACGGGAACGCGTGGACCGAGTTCGGATTCGATGCGGGGGTAACTTCACGTTTAGCCAGGAAATGCTCGCAACGACCCTCGACGGAACCGATATTTTACTCGGGCGTGATTGGCTGCGACGACACAATCCGCGAATCGACTGGACGACGGGTGACTGCACTGTGCGAGTGAACGGTAACAACATCGCCTTACCTTGCTGGGGCTCGCCTGAGTCTTCGTCGGTGCGTGTCAACGCGATCACGATGAAACGCGCCGTAGCGGCAGGAGCTGACGTGTACGCGGTCGACATTCGGGAAGCCGAGGCAGCAGACAAAGGAGGGGATTTACAGAAACTACTAGCCGACGTACCGAGTGATCTGGCAGCACTGTTGAAGCAGTACAGTGACATCTTCCCGGACAACCTACCGACAGGACTGCCACCTCAGCGACCGCACGACCACAGGATCGAATTAGAACCGAGGGCACAGCCGACAGTACAGGGACAGTTCCGACTGACCCAACCCGAACAGGACGAACTGAGGAAGCAACTGGATTACCTGCTCGAGAAGGAGTTCATTCGCCCTAGTTCGTCGCCCTTCGCAGCACCGATACTGTTCACGCCGAAAAAAGACGGGGGATTTCGCATGTGCATAGATTACAGACCATCAAATCCCGTTACCCCATCCTGCGAGCCGACGAACTGATCGACCAACTGCGCACAACCCGGGTTTTCTCGAAAATTGACCTTCGGGGAGGTTACCACCAGATTTTGTCAACCCACCCGACTGCCCTAAGACAGCCTTCCGAACACGCTACGGATCCTTCGAATACACCGTCATGCCCTTCGGACTGACCAACGCCCCCGCCACTTTCCAAATGACAATGAACGAAGCCTTCCGCCCGCTTTTAGATAAGTGCGTCATCGTATATCTGGACGACATACTGATTTACAGCCCCGATAGAGCACAATACTTACATGACATCGAAGCAGTTTTTCAGATAGTGAGTGAGAACCGCCTACTGACAAAAGCGTCTAAGTGTGAGTTTTTACGGGACCGACTGGAGTTTTTGGGACACGTTATTTCAGCTGCAGGAGGGGAAATAGACCCGAAAAAAATTGCGACGATTCAAGCATGGCACGCGCCGACCAACTTTACCGAGCTGCAGAGTTTTTTGGGGTTCGTCAACTACGTGCGCCGGTTCGTCCCCGACATGGCGAAGCTGAGTGCCCCGTTGACCGACCTGCTGAGGAAGGGGGTTGAGTACACGTGGGGGGAGAAAGAGCAAGCTGCCTTCTCGGCCCTCAAAAACATTTTGTGCTCACCGCCCGTACTTCACATCGCAGATCCGCACCGTCCGTTCGAGCTCGTCACCGATGCTAGCGACATCGCTGTGGGAGAAGTACTGTTGCCGGACTTTGGGAACGGCCTTCAGCCAATCGCGTACGAGTCCCGCAAGCTTCACCCGCCCGAACGCAACTATCCGATACACGACCGCGAAATGCTGGCGATCGTGCACGCGTTCAAGGTGTGGCGATGTTACCCCACAGGAGCAGACGTGACAGTACGGACAGACCACCGATCCCTACAGTACCTTCGCGCCCAACCGAATCTCAACCCACGACAGATCCGCTGGTTGGACTATCTGGAGTCCAACTTCCACTACACGGTCACGTACAAAAAAGGCGCATCCAACATCGCCGACGCACTCACACGCCCTACCGCCCAACTCCACGCTATCCTACTCACCTAAACCAACCCATTGTTAACAGGCCTATTCACCCACGGATACAGTACCGACCCATTTTTCACGACCGGAAATTCACAGCAACTGGCAGAGGCCAGAGGAGTCTATTACGTAAAAACAGGCACCAACCGCATCTGGGTACCCGCGTAATCACTACTGAGGGAACTGTTACTGCAAGAGGCACACGACGGGATTACCTCGGGACATTTCGGGGTAGAAAAAACACGACAGCAACTGCAGCGGTATTACTACTGGCCGGAGCTGTTGACCGACGTACAGCACCACGTGGGCTCGTGTCCTACGTGTCAGGTGATGAAGAGCTCACGAAAAAGAAAGGCGGGTCAGTTGCAGCCGATTCCACCGCCTGAGCGCACCTGGCAGCAGGTTACCATGGATTTCGTCACGGGGTTACCTTCGAACCCTGGGGGTAACGACGCAGTTATGGTCGTCGTTGACAGGTTGACGAAGATGGCACACTTCGCTGCGTGCAAGAAATCGATCTCAGCAGAAGAAACCGCTCGCCTGCTCATCGCAGCCGTCGTTCGACTGCACGGGATACTAGCCGCGATAATCAACGACCGCGACACGAAGTTCACCAGCAACTTCTGGAAGATCCTCTGGGAGCAGTTCGGGACAAGGCCACA